ACAGATGTGGAGGGAACATATTGCTGCCCTACATGCCACTTAGGCGTAAAGGGCATGAGTGAGTGAGTGAAGGTGACGTCTAGCTCTGGTAACGTGAGCCCTAGCCGTTCGCCGTTTGCGGTAAACCGGCATCTAAAAGCCTCTCCTACCGTAAACTTCCAAAAGTACCGAGTCCTTGGAAGGCGGTTCGGCGAAGACATGCAAACGAAATTTCCTCCGCCGAAGAGTAGGGCGGCGAGGTATCATCGAACGAAGAACCCTTTGATGAAAACTATTCGCCAGCTGGCTATGGAAATCACAAGTAGCGAGGCGAAGAACAGCTAGCGACGCTGAATCCGAAATAACGAAGAAAAGCGTTGGAAGGAAATCGTTTGCAACAGTGATTATTACAAAAAAATAAATAAATAAATAAAGATTCCTACGCGAATTCTAAACATTTCTAAACAAAACAACGACGTCTACAGCAAGGTGCTAAAAGATGCGCAGAAACGGTTCGAAGCACGTGGTCATGAGGTTCTGTTCACTGTGGAGCAAGTGAGCTGGCTAATTGTTACGAGGCTTCAGCAAATCCTCAATTTGGTTCGACTCTGGCGCGACCTATAAATCAGAGTCGTGTTTGTGCCTTGCTTCAGTCCAACCTGATTGCAACTAAGTTCGGCACAGAAAAAGCGCGACGTCTCAACTGGGCCTAACTGACTGCCTGACTGACTGTCTGACTGACTGTCTGCCTGTCTGCCTGTCTGACTGACTGACTGTTGACTGAATGACTGACTGACTGACTGATTGACTGACTGACTGACGGACGGACGGACGGACTGTCTGTCTATCTGTCTGTCTGTGTCTGACTGACTGACTGACTAAGGACTGACTGACTGACTGACTGACTGACTGACTGAGAGAACATACATTACCTTTTTCGCCATATTAAAACCCCAAGAAGGAGTCCCGCTACTGCTCCAATAGCGATGACTAGCCCAGTTATCATACCTGTACGGTCAGGACTGGCAACACTGGCAACTGCAAGTGTAAGGAAATTAATAAACAAACCGTTTTTCGCGGGGGGTGGGGNTTAGTCTTAGTCTCAAAACTTCCAGTAATTTCAAAAGAAATCCGAGACTTGCATTTTTGTGGCCAAAGAGGAGGTTTGGACTCTGACTAACTAATAAATGTATTTCTTAGACTCATTTATAATTCACTCAAGTTAAAACAAAGAAAATCACAACCACGAAGGAGGTTTGGATACCCAGTCTTAATTAGCATACATTTTGACGATTTTACTTCTCCGTTTACTCCTAAGTTTTTGTTTCGATTGAGAAGATATATCAAACACTCGAGACAGTGTTTCATAGGCTATACAAACACCTCGAATTTCGTCAAAAATACTCCGCTGCGCGTCGTATAATGATTGTATCATATTTCTCCACACATTTTCTTAGAAAAATGAAAAAAAAAAAAAAAAAAAAAGAGTGACCCAGACAAGTGACATAAGAAAGTTTTAGATCCGAGTCAAACGATGAAAACCATCGTGATCAAACACACCTTGATGACTACAGTACTTTATGCAAATGAAAACAAAGGCAAATACGTGATCCAGTTCTCGGCATAATTGAATTATTAAAACACTGCTTGTTCAAAGGCAACATTTCATTTTCAACTTTCTCCTTTCTTTTACACATTCACAGTCTAGTTATTAACTTCCCTCGTCCATGACGCGAAATACTCAAGAGCTAACCTATTGTATCAGAGTCGTCTTCATTGTTCTCGAGAATGAAGCATGGCTCGCTCATGTTTCCACAACCGCCTGCAGTGCACATGGCCACGCTTACGGTGTAATTTTTGCCTGGATCAAGATTTTTTAACTTGACTGGAGCCGGCGATCTGTCAGGAAGTGTTAGTAATTCAGCCAGGGATGTGTTGACAGCTACCCTTTGATCACCATAGTAAACCAAGAACTTGTTGGGTTTGCCATTCCAAGTACTAATTGGTGGCAACTGTGTAAAAAGGAAAATTATTGTTACAAAAAGGCCAAAAACTAGACTATTTATAACTGTATCAGAGATAGGAGGTGGACGTTTGACTTTCAGGACTGTGAAAGTCGTCCCCAATGTACCAAAGGGACCTATGATGAGTCTTTTGGCCTTGATGCACTAGTTCTGTGAGTCACTGCGAGTCAGTTGTAAGAAGAGGTGCAAAGCTGTTTTTTCTAATGACGATTTTTAACGATTGCACATGTGCTGCAGTTTCTCCAAAATTATGCAGTCGTTGTTAATTACCGTTTTTAATAACTAAGAAGCTACATGCTTCACTCATCTAACAATTAAGAATTTTCTAATGATAAATCTCCTAATACCCGTGCAATAACATGCAGCACACCATACATGCAGCAGAATATAAAGCATGTGTCGTTTTCCCACCAACTGAAAACGTTAGAGTCATCACCTTCCAGTATACAGAAGCTTTATGTCTTGACCTGTTCTTCACTTCACATGAAGGGGGAGCTTCACTGGGTGCTGGAAACAGACAGGAAAAGAAATGTAGTATATGACAGCGCTCAATTTCGGCGTTACCCATTGAGCACCCCTATTCCAATACGTGCCCCTACAGCGATAATAACAGTGAAGACACTGACATTGAATAGGCTAATTAGAACAATGAGTTACGAAGTCCGCCTTCTTATCGGAACGTAATATTGAACATTATGACTATCAGAGCTGCTATTGTCACAGTTCTTGAGTTAAAGTTTATGACATTTTTCATTTAATTATATCACATTCACAAAGAAATAAGCGTGTTCTTATTAACACTACTTTGCCATGTGGTATTGCTGTGATGCAAAAACCATATTTTAACATTTTTTTTTTTTGGGGGGGGGGGGGTTTATCCGCATATAGCTACATGTACATGTAAATAGGCCAATTTATACGTCTAATGTATTAAAATTCTAACTTGGCTATGAAGTTCAGGGGAATATTATACATAATTATGGAATTATTTATTCATCCTACCACCTCGATGTGATTTGTTTGTTTTTTCCCCTATGCCTCAAAGCTGAACTAGAATTATTAATATATCGAAATCCACCCATATAGTACGTGCAATATTATATGCACCAAACAATAATACAGCTAGTGCATTACAACAGCTTTATATCCATAATCTTACCAGCTTCTTTGCTTTTTACTTCAGTATGAACAGCAGGGCCCTTTTGAAATCGCATGCTACAAGTTGCTGTAAAATTATACCATGCAAATGGTATAATTGCATGTGTGCTCCGAAAAACATATTCAGTACAGTTCTTAGCACGGGCCTTAAACGTTTGGAGAGGTGATGTCTATTGAAAAGTACAAAGTAAAATTTCAGGTACAGGTAATAATTATAAGCTGTTTGCTGTTCATTACAAAAAATAATTCCATGTCTATAATAGCTTCAAATCTGAACTGAATTTTAAAAAGTAACTACCGGTTGCCAGACTTTCAAAGTTCTTCTTTCAATCTTTTCAGTGGTCATGGGCTCTCAGACAATAGCGCCTGCTAGTGGTTCATGAAACATGACTTTCTGATTCAGATTTTAAGGTGACAAAACGTAGTACTACTAGTAAGTCTGAAAACTGCAGTAACCCACAGGATTGGAAAAAGGCAAATGAACACAGAGGTTTCAAGATTGTGGAAAATAGCAAGGTTTTAATTTCGCTTTCTAATATTTTTGCCAGTCAATTACTGACATGGAAAATTGTTTGAACAAGTACAAATTTAATTATGGAAGCAAAATGCCCCATGCAGAGTGGTTTGACATTTCAATAAATAGATTCATGCCCTTCTCAGTTTTTTTTTCACACTGCTACAGGACAATCTAGTGGTGAATGCCAAGGGCCTATATGGGATGATAGGTGTCCTTGGAACTTTTATCTTATAAGACACTTCATGTAAGCCCTCAAATTTTGTTCTTATGCTAGCATTTTGTATTTTAGAACATGCATGTAAAATTTCCCAGATAACTATCACTATGAACTGAAAACATGTGAAAATCCAGTGAATTTATTCATGGTAAATTAACAGCAATTTGAAAGGATTTTAATGGCGTTTTCATGCAAAACCTTAGAGCCCTGCCAAATGGACTTGCAAGTAGTTGCAAGTTGAACTTGTGTAGAGACTTGCGTTGGGGGACCAAACAGACACACAAGTTACCTCTCAAGTATACGCAGATCGCTTAAAAAAGATTTCAAGGCAACGGGCTCAGTCCCGCATGGCCAAAATGCGACCATCACACAAACATATCCTGTATTTCATTGGCTAATAGGTTACTATAACAATGAATACACGTCAATCAACTTGAATTGACTTGGGTTGGATAAACAAACGGTGAAAATCTGTGTCGACTTCCGTGCACGGCATTGCAAGGCAACGCAAGTGCATGCAAGGCCTGGCCAAACGGAATCGCAAGTACACCCAAGTTTTCAACTTGCATCTACTTGCAAGTCTGTTTGGCTTGAAGGCTTAGGGAATTTTTCATGTAACCAAGAAAAAAGCACGAAAAAACTCATTAAGTTAATTGGTAACTACCTCTCCTGTCAGCACTGGTGTTATGACATATGTAACATCATAATCCACACGCATTTCTACTTGTTGACACTGCCAACTGGCGGTAAAATGATGTTCACCAAATGACACAGTCAGATTGCGAAGAGGGGGACAAAGTGCTACAATATGAAAGAAACGTATATTCAGAATATTTAACAATTATTGACAGAAGTGGAGTTGAATTTAGTGGTGGAAATTCACCTCACTGCTATGCGACCCAGTAAATACTATTAATAGCAATGTTGGTACGTATGTGGCGTGGCCGTAGACTGGATACCACAAATTATCTAATAGGAAAAACGCACATGCGCATGGCTTTAGAGTCATGGAGAGTGAGGCTGTTTAAATTGGCAGCAAAAGAAAGGATGTCCATCATGCCTCAGGGTCATGGAGAGTCAGGCCATTTAGACTGATAGTAAAAGGGTGGGGAGGAAAAGATAATATCTCCAATGGACTGGGGACCAGTTAGTGTTGCCAATATCAGTTAGTGAAGGGTTCAGAGAACCACATCTCCCCATCCGGTTAAAGTTACTTGTTTTCTCCCTCATCCCTCTCAGCTGACTGGCAGTCACAACACTTGTGCAGACTTTCAAACCAATACTGCCAAGCGAATAGGATACAGCAAAATAATAGCACCATAATCATTTAATAATAACAACAACAACAACAACAATAATAGTAATAATGACAATAACAGTAACAGTAACAGTA